GCCATGACCCTCGCGGTCTGTCTCTCGGCCTCGGCCGCGGGAGTCTAATATCCCGCACAGTTGCGCGCAGCAGCTGGAGAGCCGACCGCTGCACCCTCGTCGCCCTTGGCGCCTTATCACTCCCTGCCCCGGAGCTGGGAGCAGCGCGACCCCCGTGCAAACTGGGGGTGTTTGCTGGAGCAGCCCCCGCCGCCGCCGCTGCTGCCCCGGGCTCTGGCCATGGCCTGGCGGGGCGCAGGGCCGAGCGTCCTGGGGGCGTCCGGGGGCGTCGGTCTCCGTCTGTGGCTGCTGCTGGTGCTGCTGCTCCCGGGGCCGGCTTGGGGCTTCGGGGACGAGGAGGAGCGGCGCTGCGACCCCATCCGCATCTCCATGTGCCAGAACCTGGGCTACAACGTGACCAAGATGCCCAACCTTGTGGGGCATGAGCTGCAGACCGACGCCGAGCTGCAGCTGACCACTTTCACGCCGCTCATCCAGTACGGCTGCTCCAGCCAGCTGCAGGTGGGCGCCCCTACCCCCAGCCCCTGGCGAGCCCCCTGCGCGGGGACGCCCCCGACTAACTCCGTGGAGCCCTTACCAAGCCGAGCCCCCTGCCCGCCTCCTCCGGGGCCGAAGGGTGTAACTATCCTGAAAAAGTGATTTCCATCCCCACCCCCACTTTTCTGTCCCTTCTCGGGGACTGGGAGCCAAAGCGTTGTGTAAGTCATCTGGCCTGCGAAAGAACCCACTCTCACACCCCGCCCTTCCGCTTTTCTCCCCTGCCCACCGCGTCTGGCCAAGCCCCTAACCCCAGCGGAGCTGAGGGTTATCTTTGCCAAGGGTTCTGGCCGCCGCGCGCAGTGGGCGAGTCCCCGGCGGGGCGGCCAGCGGCAGCCGAGACTTGGAAGGAGAGATAAGGGGCTGGGAACTTCTCCCTCGCCGGCTTCATTTCTCCCCCGTATTTTGGGGTGGTTTATTAAATGAAACGCCGCTGCCCCGTTTTCCGCACCATGGCCCCTCATCGTGTGGCCCGCCTGAGTTTAGAGGTCACGCAGGAAGGAATGGTTGGCTTGGCTGGAGGGTACCCCTGTTCTCAGGGTTGAGGGCAGGTTTAGTACGTGGAGGGAGAGAAAACACAGCTTGGGGAAGAGGTGATGGTATGGTTCAGCTCAAGAAGGCAGTTTGTCTCCTGGAAGATCGTTGTTGTCTCAGTCATTAAAAATTTTAAAGCTCGTGTCATGAGACAGAAAACATTCATCCTACCATAGTAAGTGAAGAAGGAATTTGCACAGCACACGCAAGGTGGTTGCAGTCTTAGAAAAACAACCACCAATTCCTTGGAAAATAAAAAGAATTGAAAGGAGATTTTTAAAAGTGTTAGCATCCATTGGGTTTTGTTTGGTGAGGCAATGAGTGGTTTCTTTGAATTTTAGAAAAGAGAGACATTGGGAAAAATAGGGAATGGTTGTCCAGGCTGAAAGCTTTAGAAATCTGTGGTTCTGGTTATAACTTCTGAGAGGTAAGAAGCAAGCAGGCAGCTTACTAGGTGCATGTTTTTATACAGGTCATTTTAAAAGTTGGATTGTGGTTTCAGAAAGATGGTTGGGATTAGACCCGTTGCTGGTGAAATGTCCCTTTGGAAGTTTCAGAACTTCAGAACTAGGTTATAAAAGCTTAAGAAATGATCCTCTAGCTCTCGGTTTGGAAACTGCACATATCCTGACATCAGTGGCAGTTTTGTTGGAGAAACAGCTTTTGCAGGGATATATATTTTTAATTACATGTATCCTGGGGAAGCAGCCAAGCTGTTTTGAAGGACAGGACTGGATCCCTTTACATGCTGGAAAATAGTTACTTGTAACTCTAGACTTCATAGACAACATCTGTAAGGAGCCAAGCAGACTGTTTATCAATGCTGGAGGAATTGAGGACAGCAACTGCACTCTCCCCTGCTGGTATTGCAGTGTCAGGGACTTAACATTTATATTTTCCTATTGTGCTTCATTATTATTCAGTGTGGAAACCTGGCCAAACAAGCCCCGGGTGACCAGAGACCTCAACCTGCATCACATCCTGGATCCCATGGTTGGGTCTAACAGTATCTTAATTAGGACAGTTTTTGTTTCAATATGAGACTGATTAAAAAATAATTTTAGGGCATAAAGTAGAGAAAAGAGAGAATATTAACAGGAGAAAGGCTGGATCTACTTTTTTTTTTTTTTTTTTTTACCTTTATTTTTATGGTGATAAAGAAATGGGGATGAAAATAAATACCCACCACCAAAATGACAGAGTCATTTGATTAGTCTGTTCAGCTCTTTCAAATAGTAGCTGAAAGAGGGGGAGACTCAAAGTCAATCTTTTAAGGTGTATTCTCTTGTTATGCAAAAAGGGATTATATAATTTTTTGAGTCCTTTTTATACATTTATTTATTTATGCTCTCCTGGAAAGGATTACTAGAACCAAAAGAAGAAAAGTGTGTAAGGGATGGATTATTAGGCACCCTTGTTCAAGGTCAGCATGTATGGTCGGACTCCCTATGGGCAGGTTTAAAAGTAGTTATGTACTTTGCCTGGAAGCATTCACAACTCAGCTGTGTGCAAGCATTTGGTCATACTTCCAAGTCACTGTTTTCTTTGCTCATTTCATTACTTTTCCAGTTCTTCCTTTGTTCCGTGTATGTGCCAATGTGCACAGAGAAGATCAACATCCCCATCGGCCCATGTGGCGGCATGTGTCTGTCTGTCAAGAGACGCTGTGAACCTGTCCTGAAGGAATTTGGATTTGCCTGGCCGGAGAGCCTAAACTGCAGCAAATTTCCACCCCAGAATGACCACAACCACATGTGCATGGAAGGGCCAGGAGATGAGGAGGTGCCCTTACCTCACAAAACCCCCATCCAGCCTGGGGAAGAGTGCCATTCCGTGGGAACCAACTCCGATCAGTACATCTGGGTGAAAAGGAGCCTGAACTGCGTTCTCAAGTGTGGCTACGATGCTGGCTTGTACAGCCGCTCGGCCAAGGAGTTCACGGATATCTGGATGGCCGTGTGGGCCAGCCTGTGCTTCATCTCTACCGCCTTCACCGTGCTCACCTTCCTGATCGATTCTTCCAGGTTTTCCTACCCTGAGCGCCCCATCATATTTCTCAGTATGTGCTATAATATTTATAGCATTGCTTATATTGTCAGGCTGACTGTAGGCCGGGAGAGGATATCCTGCGATTTTGAAGAGGCAGCAGAACCTGTTCTCATCCAAGAAGGACTTAAGAACACAGGATGTGCAATCATTTTCTTGCTGATGTACTTTTTTGGAATGGCCAGTTCCATCTGGTGGGTTATTCTGACACTCACTTGGTTTTTGGCAGCTGGACTCAAATGGGGTCATGAAGCCATTGAAATGCACAGCTCTTATTTCCACATTGCGGCCTGGGCCATCCCTGCAGTGAAAACTATTGTTATCTTGATTATGAGACTGGTGGACGCAGATGAACTCACTGGCCTATGCTACGTTGGGAACCAAAACCTTGATGCCCTCACAGGTTTTGTGGTGGCTCCCCTGTTCACCTACCTGGTGATTGGAACTTTGTTCATTGCTGCAGGTTTGGTGGCCTTGTTCAAAATTCGGTCAAATCTGCAAAAGGATGGGACAAAGACAGACAAGTTGGAAAGGCTGATGGTCAAGATTGGGGTCTTCTCAGTCCTGTACACGGTTCCTGCAACCTGTGTGATTGCCTGTTATTTCTATGAAATCTCCAACTGGGCGATTTTCCGGTATTCTGCAGATGACTCCAATATGGCAGTTGAAATGTTGAAAATTTTTATGTCTTTGCTGGTGGGCATCACTTCAGGCATGTGGATTTGGTCTGCCAAAACTCTTCACACGTGGCAGAAGTGTTCCAACAGATTGGTGAATTCTGGGAAGGTAAAGAGAGAAAAAAGAGGGAATGGTTGGGTAAAGCCTGGGAAAGGCAATGAAACTGTGGTATAAAGCTAGCCAGCCTCCACGCTTCCCAAATTTTGAAGGGGGAAATGCCAGCATTTCGGTGCAAATGCTACTAAAAGTTTCATGCAATGAATCTCGGTTTGAACAAACCAGCCACCCTAAGGTGACCCCCATAACCCACCACCCTCTCCCTCACTTCCCCCCAAGCATCATAAAACTAATGATTTTGGTGCAGACTTTGGAATAATCCAAAATGGAAAAGCCAGTTAGAGGCTTTCAAAGCTGTGAAAAATCATAACATTGATCACTTTAGCAGGTCGAAACTTGGAGCGTGGAGGTCCTGCCTAGATTCCAGGAGGTCCAGGCGATGCTGCTTTTCCCTGAGGGGTGGGATTTGAGCTGTGAGTAGGTAACTTGCAGGGAGAAAGGTTAACTTTTTTTTTTAACTCTTTAAAATTTAAAATACTAACTGGGTCTTTCAGATAGCAAAGCAATCTATAAACACTGGAAATGCTGGGTTCAGAGACGTGTTACAAGAGTTTTATAGTTTGGCTGATCTAACATAAACATTTTCTGTGGTGCATTGTCTGCTGTTTAGAACTTGTGGATTGCTCTCCCAAGAGGTGGTGTCAGAATCTTTCAGTGCCTTTGTCATAAAACAGAATTGTTTGAACAAACGAAAGTACTGTACAAACACACATAAGGTATCCAGTGGATTTTTCTTCTCTCTCTTCCTCTTAAATTTCAACATGTCTGTTCGAGGCTGCTGCTGTTTTTTTATCTTACATTAATAAGTCAAAAATAGGCATTTTTATAGGAATTTTTGCACTGCAGCGTGCCTAATGAGGGGGAAAGGAAGGGTGATTCACTTTCTGACAATCACTTAATTCAGAGGAAAATGAGATTTACCAAGTCGACTTACCTTACCGACCCCAGAGACCTATTGCATTGAGCAATGGGGACTTAATATATTTTACTTTGTGTGATTGCATCTATGCAGACGCCAGTCTGGAAGAGCTAAAATGTTAAGTTTCTTGGCAACTTTGCATTCACACAGATTAACTGTGTAATTTGTGTGTGTCAATTACAATTAAAAGCACATTCTTGGACCATGACATAATAGTATACTCAACTGACTTTCAAACTGTGGTCAGCTTGCATTCTCAGAATGATAGTGCCTTTTTTTTCTTTTAGCATAAGAATGTTATCAGAAGAATCTGGTTTACCTACCACAATGGAGACTTTTTCAGTTTTGTACAGGGAACTGAGGACAGCTAATCCAACTGCTTGGTGCATAATTGTTTCCCAGTAATTGGCAAAGGCTCCTTATAAGATTTCATTGGAGGCAGTGTGGCCTGGAGTATTTATATGGTGCTTAATGAATCTCCAGAATGCCAGCCAGGAGCTGATTGGTTTGTAGGGAATAAAGTGTAGACCATATGAAATGAACTGCAAACTCTAACAGCGCAGGTCTTAATTGCCTTTTGAGGAGGTATCCAGAGCTTTTAAAATTTATGCTTTATGTTCCTTACAAGGGGGTACCCCCCAGCAGCCTCTCAAAAGTTGCAGTTCTTTTAAAACTGTAACTGGCCTTTCTCTTAACCCGCCTCAGGCCTTCTAATCGCCAGATCTCTGGGACAAATTGTTGACACTGTCGCAGGTTGCTCTCCTTGTAACTCTTACCTGTCTTTGCTTCAGCGACTCCTTTGCAATGACTCATTTATTTATTTATTCATGCCCCACTTTTTAAAAAACAGATAGGAAAGCTCTTTTATCACTTTTTTTTTTTTTTAGTGGAAAAACATCTGCAGGGACTCAGAATTCCAAATAGGTAGTCAAATTCTGGAAATAAGCATGACTTTTTGTTTACTTGAGCTTTATGCCCATGGTTTGACATTTTCCTTCCTTCTTCCCTCTGTTTTTGTGTGGTTCTTGAGCTGTCCGAGATGAAGATGCATGTAATGTCTGCTGCAGGTTCTGGAAGGGAAAGTCTTGGGGCTTTTGAGACTGTTACTAAGTGGGCACGTGGGGGTGGGGGGGCCTTGCTGTGTGTCCCCAGCCGGGCTTAGTACCTTGGCTGGCCTCTGGCGTCAGGACTTCAGGAGCATGAGAAAGGATCCTCGGAAGGACCAGTTGAACTCCATCTGAGACCACATTGCCTATGAAATGTACAATGTGAACGCCCCGTGCTGCTGCAGACGGTTCCCATAGCTGGCCAGGGCCCTGGAGCGTGCACCCAGGGGCAGAGCCTGCCCTTACTCACGCTCTGCTCTAGTGTCTTGGGAATTGTGCAGAGCCTCTGGCCCAGGCAAGGGAAGGACCGTGCAGCCGGGCACTGGCCTTGCTGTTAGCGTGCTGGGACTTGTAATGCAATTTTCTTTGTAATGTTTCGGTGATTGTGTGACCAAGGCAGCACCTAGAAGAGGGCAAGCCACAAAGTAGGTGCTCAATATTTGTGAGTGATGAAATAATAATATAACAATAAGAACACTTCAGTGAACCTGGACACTGAGTTCTGGAGCTAGTGCCCTGACAACTTCTTGGGTTTTAACATGTCTCTCCAGCAAAGCTCTTGCCTTCTCAGGGGGCAGTATATTTGGTCAGAAGTGGCTGTGGGTGCAGGCCGGGTTAGTAGCCTCAGCAATGTCACAGGTTATAGGCCTTTCCTTTCACACTCCAGGCAATGGAGAGTGTTTATGGTTTCAGGAAAGGAGCTGGTGGCTGAGGAGTCAGTTACCAGTTACTCTGAAGTGACTCCATCATCTTTCAAGTTGGTTTTGTTTAAAAAAAAAAAAAAAAAGGTCAATTATCAGCAGGTTGCTTGAGTGCCATCTGTGTGTAAGGCCCTGTGGTAATCACCGTAGGCGAGGCCCCGGGGCATGAGCTCTGTGCTCACTGACCGAGACCGGGATGCTTCTGGGTCTGCTGAACTCTGCTGTTGGTTTGGGGAAGGTGTGTGTGTCTCTGAGTTGCCATCTCTTTCGCTGTCTCCATCTCCTAAGCCTCTTCCTGGGTCTTTCTGTCTTTGATGCGTCTCTGATCCCCTCCCAGAATCCCCTGCAAATCAGCGGCAGGGGCTCTGGCAGGAAGCATCCGCTGTTTCCTGACGGTCTTTGTGGAAATCCCCGAGGAAGACTATGAAAACTGGCTGGAACAGCGCGAGCTCCCACATGCAGTGTGGCTTTGGGGGCAGGCAGTTCAGGGCTTGGGCTGTTCCATGCCGGTTGCACAGGTAAATTTGTGGGCAGTGTCTTGCTAGGAAAAAGGTTAGGGTGGTTGGCTTTTTTTCTCTGAAGTCTAGAATAAGTAGGTATGTTTGTAGCTTNATGTGGCTTTAGGGGCAGGCAGTTCAGGGCTTGGGGTGTTCCATGCCGGTTGCACAGGTAAATTTGTGGGCAGTGTCTTGCTAGGAAAAAGGTTAGGGTGGTTGGCTTTTTTTCTCTGAAGTCTAGAATAAGTAGGTATGTTTGTAGCTTCTACACATAGCCTTGGCCAGAGGGACATGGGCTAGCGTGGACCTGGCCAGATCCATCTGGTTGAGCTGCTTGGTTGATTCATACCCTTTTTCCTCTATGGAGACCTGTTTCCTGCCCTCTGAGACTGCTTCTGTGCTGGCAGCTTGCTCAGGGACCTGAAACCTGAGAAAGGGTGACACTTTTCCCTGAGATGCTCTCTGACTTTCCTTTCCCCGGTCACTCCCACACCTGCACCCCCAGACCCAGAATGCAGGAAATTTCTGTATCCAGTTCTGAACTGTGGCTTTCCCAGCACCCCCAGCTCTGTCCTCTCTGGCCCCCCTCAGCCTCCTGGCCACTGAGTTTAGTGCTTACTGTGTTGGGAGCCAAGCTGGGACCTGAGGTCGCAGAGAGGAGCTCAGCCCCAGAGGGCACACTCAATTGAGAGGGATTTCACAGGGATGGTGCAGTCTCTGGGTTCTGGTGATGTGACCTCAACAGCAGTTAGGGAAGAGAGCCTCAGAGCACATACGTTCTAAGCCACCCCCTCCCCCCACCCCCGAATCAATCTACATCCTGAATTTCCCTCTGTGATGGAAGAGATTGGAGAGAGCTGCTGTTTCAGCCAACTCTGTTGAGTCACTGGACTCTGACGGTTCTTTTTGCTCCTCTATTGTATTTAGGTCCAGAGTCCCCAGCTGGGTTTGTATCATGTCTGGCAAAGGACCCAGGTTATCATTTTTCCTCTGCGCCTAGATCACAGATCTTGGAAACTCCTAGGAGAGCATTTTGCTGCTACCTAGGATCAGATACCAGAGGCTTAAATAATGTATTTGGCTTCACTGTGGCCTGGCCAGAGCTTTCTGCTGCTGCCTCTTGCCACGCACATGTGCGGTGATGGCACGCCAGACATCCCCAGGGGGCGGGGAGCCTGGATTCCCCCCGCAGGCCTTCGCCCCGTGGTCAGCCCAGTTGCCCTATAGTAGCTTGTTTCTGTTTCTGATTTACCTCTTTCTTTCCCTTCTTCTTTGCACTAGCAAATTCTCAGTATTCACCTGGGCAGATGACAGTGGGCCTGTTTGGGGTCCTGTGTTATCTTTGTTCTTCAAGTTATTGTGGCTCCCTGATCCCCTGTGATATTCAGTACATGACCGCTGTCACCCCAGGAGGCTTCTGAGAAGAGGGGCAGGGGCAGCTATGCCCTGTGACGGCTGGGTCCACCTCTCCCAGGTGTGCACCTTTGCACACCCTGCTGATGGGCTCCGCCCTGTCTTGGCTGTGGACTTGGGGGGTGGGGGGCAGGCTGCTTTCTAGGTCTGTCACCATGGGGCATCTTGGTGGTTCTGAATTTTTTTCTACCTCACAGAGATGTAAGACTTTAAAAGGCCTGAGGATGAAGGCCCCTTGAGCTCGTTATAGGAAGGGTGGAATCCATACCAACTGGATCTGTGAAAACATGAATGTGACTCGATGTGCTCATGCCATAGTCAAGTTAGTGCCCTGTGGCCCTTTCACCAGAGCCCTGTGCTTCCCTGTGCCTCCCTGCAGCGCCAGCCACCTTGAAGCCAACCTGAGGGCTTTCAGATGTTCGACACAGAGGTACCAGGCAAACCCCGGCTACACATGCCCCGAACGCATTGCTGACCGTCGAAGGAAATGGACCCTGCTTTTAAGGATGTACAAACGTGTGTCTGCATTGATGTCTGTACTGTAAATTTCTAATTTATCGCTGTACAAAAAAAAAATAAACTTTGCTATTTAATTTTTGTATTAAAGGAAAATAAACTTTTGTTTATTACCTCATGTGTCATTGGCATATTCCTGAAGGCTTAGGATACCCTGAGAAGCGTACATACACAGCAGTGAGAAATAGGGAATTCACTTTGCAGGGCAGATTGAGAGCCTCTTTCTGAGAGCCTCTTTGTTTCTTCTTGCTGGTGCTATTTTTCCCCTCTGGGATTTCTCCAGGGTCAGCAAACCCCCAAGGTCCAAGGTCAACAGCATTTATCGATACTGTGGTCATCACTAGCGCTCAGGTGGTCACATGATGCTTTGGACAGAACAATGGTTCTCAAGCTCTCATTGCATGACACTTCTCGGCATTTCCAGTATGTGTGGAGCCTTATACACCTTCCAAGTCCCTTTGACTTAATCTGGTGGCCTGAATAAAGTTTCCCTATCACTGCTACAGCTTCAGGCCTCTTAAAATGTGGCTGGTCTATGTCCGCATATCCAGAAAAACCATCAGACAAAGCAAATTCAAATCCATTATCAGGACATTGTTGTAGACCACACGGATACAGGGAAGGGGAGTCACTGCCACTGGAGCTGTGTGCTGATGCCCCAGAGGAGAACATCAGCCCTCTTGGTTTGCCTTTTTAAAAAAAAAGAAAAAAAAGTTTTTATTGATTTTAGAGAGAGAGGAAAGGAGAGGGTGGGAGAGAGAGAAAAACATGGATCGGCTACCTCCTGCATGGCCCCTACTGGGGACTTAGGCCGCAACTCAGGCATGTGCCCTGACCAGGAATTGTACTGGTGACCTCTTGGTGCATGGGATGACATTCAACCAACTGAGCCACACCGGCCAGGGCCTCTTGGTTTGCCTTTAAATTTCTACCCATTAGTTTACCTAAGTACCACCCTGTTCTGTTGTGAGTGAAAAGCCCAGGGCACAAGGATCTGCAGATTGCTATTGTACTTTTATCTCAAAACATAAATGAAGGGAAGCATGTAATTTAAATTCTCTTCCCTGTAAGACGGGGCACATTTCTCATTTTATTACCTACTCATTAAGTAGTTATGAAGTTAAGGGAAAGTTAATGCAATATGAAATGAATTCATAATAATCCCTTGCACTTATATAAATACTTTCCATACAGAAAAATTTTTTAAAAAGTTATTTTATTCTCCTGGCATCCATGAAGTAAGCAGGGCAGGCACTGCTTTGTTTTAGAGAGAACAGAAACTTTGAGAGTGCAAGGGACTTGCCCAGGGTACCCTGACAGGAGGTGAGAGGTTGGATAGAGGAGGCCTTCTCATGCCTTGCCCAGGGTTTCGTTTTTTTTTTGTTTTACACTCCATTACGGGTTGAAGTGTGTCCACCCAAAAGACATGCTGAAGTCCTAACTGTCATGTCTCTAAATGTGAACTTACTTAGAAAGAGGGTTTTTACGGACATCATCAATTTAAGACGAGTTCATACTAGAGTAGGGTGGGCTTTAATCCGATGACTGGTGTCCTTATAATAAGAGGGACATTTGGACACATGCACAAAGAGGAAAACACCCTGTGAAGGCAGAGGCAGAGATCAGAGTGATGTAGCTGTAGGCCAGGCAAGAAACGCCAAGGATTGCCAGGAACATCCTGAGCTAGGAGAGAGGCCTCCAATGGGAGCCAACCTTAGCAAAACCTTGATTTCAGACTTATAGCCTCCAGAACTGTGTATTGTAGCCACACAGTTTGTTATGGCAGCCCTAGGAAACTAATACCTACTCTGTTCCTCTGATTTCTTTACTGCAAATAGTTCATTGGAAATTGGTGTTTTAGCAGGCAACTCTCTCAATAACAGGACCTGGCCATGATCTTCTGTTTTTTTAAGGATTATGTAGCATAATCGCTGGTAAGTTTCCTTATCTGTAAACTGGGCACCTCTAGAATAAACCCCATGACCCCTGACACTCAACTGATTTGAGCTGGTCTTGGCTGGTCTGCTGCCCAGCCACCCCCAAGGGGAGCTCTGTGTGCAGGGCCAGGACCTTGACTGGAATGTGGCCCCAAGGGTTTTTAGCATTTCTGTTCTGAGAACTGATTTTTTTTCTCTTTCCCATTTTAGCTTTCACATGCAATCATAATTTTAAAGTCAAGCTGACTTTTGACTAGAGAGGTCAGCCTTGGCCTCCTGTCCTCCGAGGAACAGAAATAAACCTCTCTTGGAGAAGGGTGTTGTCCTCTCCTCAGTTTGCAGCTGGGGCATAGGACTGGGAACACCTCGTTAAACGTTTTGAAAATGTTGAACCTCCAAAGGTTTAGTCCAAAAGGCTTTCAGAATAGACTTTGGCCCCACCTGAAATTCCTAGAATCACTCTGTCCTCATATTCTATCTCATGCTTAGGCTAAGAGAACCCATGGACTCACCTGTCCCACGGCAAAGAATTTCAAGCTCCCAGGGAGAGGGGATAAAAAATAAAATGTTTTGCATTTCACATTAGTTGCCTGATTTTCATCAGCCTCCAGTGCTCCATAAGCACCCAATCCTGTTTTCACCCACAAACCTGCTTAATCTCTAAGCTAGCCCATGTTATCAATGCCTTTCTCTTTAAGAGATTAAATGATTGGCTATCTAAATTTTCCAAACTGCCTGAGGGTTATATCATTTCACTTGCTTTGAGGTAAATGGGTAGAGTATAAGCCAGAGATGGAACTGATAAGTCACATAGAAAACCTCGTTCCATTGTTTTCCTCTCATTCCCTTGCATTTTTATATGTTTTTTTCTCCCTGACTGAAGCCCCTTCTCTCCTTCTTCAATTAGGTTGTGTCTATTCTTCCTTCAAAATTGAAGTCTTAGCCCGGCCAGGCATGGCTCAGTGGTTGAGCATCAACCTAGGATCCAGGGGTTCGATTCCCTGTCAAGGCATGTGCCCAGGTTTCAGACTCGATCTCCAGTTGGGGGCGTGCAAGAGGCAGCCGATCAATAATGACTCTCTCATCACTGATGTTTCTCTCTCTCTCTCCCTCTCCCTTCCTCTCTCTGAAATCAATAAAGATATATTTAAAAAAAAAAAAAAAAAGATTGAAGTGTTAGGTATGTTTTCTACTAAGATTTCCCTGACCCTCCCACTTGCCAGGTCCTGCCTCCCTTTTCTTCTTGCCATTGGTCAGGCTAAGCCTCTGTGTTTCCAACTCCGGGAGCCTTCATTGCATGGTTTGTAATGGCCTGTTTGTGCGCCCGTCTCCCCACTGCACTGAGCTCCTTGAGGATCACTCTGAGCACCCAAAGGTGCCTACCTGTGTGCCCTCTGAACATGAGTTTCAGGAATATCTGTGGAAGGAAGGAAGGTAGGTTAGGAGGGAGGAAGGATTTTGCCTTATTAGGTGGGGAAAATGAGGGGCTTTGGTGACAAATGGGGCCAGCATAGAAAAGAAAGCAAAGGTAACCACAGGAGCCATTTCAGAGGCAGGACTTTTTAGAAACATGATTGGACACTAGCCTCAGAGAAAATTCTCTAGCCTCAAAGATGCGTTTCAGGATGATCACCTACCTGCTGTGTTGCTTAATGTTAAGTTGTCTCTCTTCCACAATTTTCCTCCTACTTCTCCCCAACAAATACGTGCTGGGAGCCTACTGCATGGAGAATACTGGAGTGGGCTGGGGAAGGGAGAGAGGGGTGACTGGAAAACCCGTGAAAGACAAGGTCCAGCTCAGAGTCCAAAGTGCAGATGACAACAGAGAGAAAGAATTCAGCTGTTATTAACAAGCTTAAAACTCCAAACCTGGAAAAACAAATCCTCTACTGCTTAGTAAATATTTGTTGGACAAGCTGAATGAGGGTCCATCTTGTGGCAGTCACTGCCCTGGGAGGGCACTGGAGGGGACACCAAGGTAAGTAAGACACAACCTTTCCCTCCAGAAGTTCACCGCAGCAAACCACACCCCCACTATGTCCGGATCCCCTAAAGGATCAGTGCTGCTGGTCCTATCACATTTACAGGTAGTTGCTTCCTGACCTAAGTTCCAGGGCCTTGTTGGTTTAGTTTGGACAGAATAGCTTCTGAGCACCGAGTGTAATGGGAAAACTTTCCTAAGCAGTTGCCATCTCACCATTTGACCCCTGAAGGGACACATCTGCCTCAACTTGGTAAATGTGTGGCGAGGGCGAGGGCAAGAGGAAAGAGGAAGAAGGGGCCATGACTCAAATGTTGACTTGGTTTGCTCACCAAAACCACCCCCTGAGTTCAATATGCAGAAAATAAAAATTCAGACATACTCCTGTTGTGCCATCGGAGGCATGTAACGATCGGATCAACCAACTGCGCCGTGGGAACGTCTTTTCTAGCACACACGCTGCTCCTAACACTTGCACGGAGGCGGTGGCCTGTGCAGGCGTGTCCGCCTTGTGTCCTCTTGCTTCTCCCCTGTCCGAATCCCGTGCATCCCAAGTGACTGCTCTGTGGAAGTTAAACAACGAGCGTGGCCAGTCCTCCTGTCCTCGCTGACCGAGGTGAGAGAAATAAACGTGCGATCAGCTTGGCTGAGACCTGCCTGTGGGGAGTCTCGGGGCTGTGAGTCGGTCACTGTCACAGGAACCGGAGATCCTTGGATGGGAGGGAAGGTGGGCCGAGGCCCAGCTGTGCAAGGCCCTGGAGGTTGTGCTCCCCTGCACTGGGCACAGGGGTGCCGCCAACGTTTGAGGGCAAGGGAGGCCCCCACCCCCTCCGGGGTCTTACAGAGCTCGCCCTGCTGTGGCCGGTGTGGACTGAAAGGCGCGAAGGCCTGAAGGAAGGTGGTGGCAGAGAGGAGGGAAGGAGGGAGTGATGTTCAGAGAAACCACAGCAAGCTGCGGGCTGCTGCACTGCTCAGTGAGCCGGATCTTTGCTTTCTAAACCGCCGTGTTTGCTCTGTACACCTGATACAGCACACTCCCTGCACTGCCAGCACAGATAAATAGCAACCCAGTCGCCACAGGGCCTGGGCGGTTAGCAACCCCAGCCAAGCGCCCCTGGAGAGCTGGGGTTTCCCAGAGTGAGCCTCTCTCCCTCACAGTCCTCGGGTCAGCAGGACACCATTTGTTGGTGGCTGGAAGAC